AAAAAAAAAAAAAAAATCAACAGATGGTATTTAAAGGCAAATTTATCAATATTTAGAGAAAATACATTATAAAATTACATGTCCCAAAACATATGATAAATGACTACCAAAGACAAAAGGATAAACTGTACTCCCCAGTTTCCAAAACTGAATATATATAAAGCCCTGTCAGCTAAGCAAATTCAGTTTTCTTTCAAGATGCCATTTGATATCACTAAAAATTTTTCATTTTAAAATAAGAAGTTTACTGACAATTTTATAACTGTTGAAAGTGACCATAAGAGTTGAAAGATTGTCTGGGCGTGGTGGCTCACACCTATAATCCCAGCACTTTGGGAGGCTGAGGCAAGCAGATCACTTGAGGTCAGGAGTTTGAAGTCAGCCTGGCCAACATGGTGAAATCCTATCTCTACTAAAAACACAAAAATTAGCTGGGTGTGGAGGCGCATGCCTATAGACCCAGCTACTTGGAAGGCAGAGGCAGAGACAGGAGAATCGCTTGAACCCAGGAAGTTGACACTGCAGTGAGCCACCAAAATTGCGCTGTTGCCCTCCAGCCTGGGTGACAGAGCGCGGCCCTGTCTCCAAAAAATAAAAATAAAAAATAAAGAGTTGAAAGATGGACTAATGGCACCAAAAAAGGAAAGAAATCTACCCAGCTATATTTTGAACTGTTTCAGAATACTGTATACCACAACCACTTGCAAGGTTAAAAAAAAAAAAGTTAAACATACAACCCTGCTAGTTTACTTTTCACATATAAATAAGAAAAGGAAAGCAACCTGGCAAATAAATCTGGGATAAACGTAATAATCAGAATCACAAATCTAGAATATAAGATGATATAAAAGATGACTGCTGCCAACTCTTAAAACTATAAATAAGGTCTCATATGTGATATGAAAAATTAATTTAGACATTAGATTGGCCAAAGGCTATCTGTATCATCATCATTTTAAAAGATGCTATACGGTCGGGTGTGGTGGCTCATGGCTGTAATCCCAACATTTCTGGGGATGAAGGCGGGAGGATCATGAAGTCAGAAAGTTCAAGACCAGCCTGGCCAACACGGTGAAACGCCGTCTCTACTAAAAATACCAA